AATCAGCCAGGCCATACATAAACAATACAGCCAAACAATCACCAGGCCATACATAAACAATACACCAAATATCAGCCAGGCTTTGCTGTGCCCAGCTGCAGAGAACCTTGCTGCTTCCAGTAAGGAGGGCAGCTCAGTGTGCCCACATCTCAGGGCACACAGACATCCTTTGGCACTATATAAATCCATCAACAACTGTCTGTCTTTCTCCAGCGTTCACTCAGATTTATTCACACGAGTCTTCCCTTCTATTGAAAGACCAGGATTGCTGCCCAACATTTCCAGCTGATCCCGGTGTGACAACTTCATTCTGAAAGTCAAAAATCCCTGCTTTCCAGTTCAAGAAAGCAAAGCATTAGTCAGAGCAATCTCCTAGCAGTGAGAAGGCACTGATTGAATTTTCACTCCACCCAACTCAAAGGTCAGAGAGTAGTTTTCCATCCCACACTGCTCTATACCATGCAGACCAGGAAGCTGAACCAAGTCTTCCACATCTGCAGCCAGTCCCTACCATGCACCTGCACACTCACGTGCACACTCTCTCTGAGTTTCTTCAGAACTCTTTTTCATTTTCCCCTAAAAAAACCCCAGCAAAACTGATGAGTCTTGCAAAATACTTTGGCTCCAAATACAGAAAACCATTCAACGAAATTCCAAGTCCAATTTTTCTGAGCAATGCTATTATTGACATCAATTGTCAAGATAACCAAACCAAAGTGAGCTGGCAGAGCAAAACTAATAATTCAAGACCATGAGCTAATTAGGAGGGAAAACAGCCTCCTGTGGCATTAGGTTTGTATTGCTCAGTGTCTGTGAGGTTTCAGGTGCTGTTAGACAGATCTGGAATCTTCATTCTTATGCTGGAATGTGTCTAGAGCAAATACTATACACTCCTCAAAGTTGCTCTAGAATTTTCAGGAATGCAAAGATGAGCTAATAAAAATTAGATTTTAATTTTAACATAGCCTATTTTTTAAACCATCAGAAAAAGGGGTACTCTGTTCAGAAAGCTGTTTTATTTTCACTGACTGCAGGGATAGAAAAAGGAAAGAGAAAGGAGAGAAAAAAAGACTCAGAAGCCACATTCCTACTCCTCTGCCTTCTTGAATGACTCCATTATGAGGCTGAAAAAGAGATTTAATTAAATCAGTTCCACTTACCAACCAAACTTTACCTGTTTCTTTGCCAGAGACACCATTCCTTCTTGTTCCCAAAGGGGTGTTGAGAGGAGGGAGAGAAGAACAGCAAAACTGGATTTTAAGAGCAGGAAAGCAGAGGGGGCTTTAACTTTTAACCCAGTGAAAATTGAAAAAGCAGTGAGAAAAAACCCAAATAGAGATAGCAGGCATTCATTAGTGCCAAGGCACCACTGCTATGACTCTTCTGAAGATGCAGGACACCACATGCCAAACTCTCAGATACTAAAAATAAGTAAATATTCTAAAAAGGCTTCTGCTGAATTGTACTTTCACAGCAGAAGCTGGACAAGGTCCAGGAAGAACCATGAGACTGAGGCTTTCTGTATATTGCAGCCATCCAAACATGCAGTGAGTTAAAAGACTGCAAGGAAACCCTGAGCTGTGGGAGCCCCTGCTAAACCTCAGAACCTTCTCTTTCTCCTCAGCTCTTGGACGAGGGGAGAAAAATTATTACCCTCTGAAAATTAAGAAGCAACTCCTTTAAACAGATGACTCAGCAGATGTAAACTCCAGCAAAGTGAATTCCCCAAGCTGCTGACATCAGCACACACACAGAGACCACCTAGGAATGGCTGCAGGCAGGCTCTGGAGCCACGGAAGAACGAGCAGAAGAAGCCCTGTGAGGGGAGGTGCTGTTTTACCGGGATTGCCCAGTGACACACAGGTGACAAATGACCTCAAACAGTGCTGAGTGCTGAGCACTCTGCTCTCCAAAAGCTGCGAGCAGCATCAGCTCACTCAGCTCCTTGGCCAGCAGAGTCCTGCTCTGCTCTGCTCTGCTCTGCTCTGCTCTGCTCTGCTCTGCTTCCCTGTCACACAAAACAAGTGCCAGCACTGCCAGGGGCTCTGGAGCAGCTGCCGGGGGCCAAGGGGACATTTCTGCACACACACACGGGTCACCCTGCCCAGCCACAGCTCAGGAGCCACGGGCCATGGGCAGCTGGGGACACTGAGTGCCAAATCCTGCCACTCACAGCCCGGAGCTCTGTCCCAAAGGGAGGCACACTGCAGTCAGCTGGCTGCACCGGGAAAGAGGACAAACAGCCTTGTCACTGTGCTCACTGCAAATATATGACAAAGCTGCAGCTCTGCTATTTCCCACCCTGCAGAAGAAAAATGCCATTATTAACATCACTTGCTGATACAACACCTATGATATAAATTGGGCTTGACCAGAGCCACGAGGCCACACATGTTTTGGACCACACCAGACCTCCCCAGCCATGAAATAACCCCCCCAGGCTGGCTCCACCCCAGCTTTCACTTCTGCAGGAGGAGAGGAAAGCCCAGGTCACCCATCCCTGAACCTCTGTGGGCTGCCTGAGCTCCACAAAGCTCACAATTGCCCAGTTTGATAATAAATCACAGTTTCTCTGCCCTGACATTACAATGTAGATCCACATTCACTGCTGGACACACACCATGCCACTGCAGGATGCCAATTCTCATGAACAAAAGATCCAGCTAGTTAAACAGAAAAATAAATCTCAACTGCTAATAGGAGGGAAGGGAATTTTCAGTCCAAATAGCTGCATTTATTAAGAATATTTTTTCTTCTAGTTGGAGTAATTCAGACCTAGAAGAGACATGCCAAGCACAGTAAGACAAATCCACAGCCACCTCTGAAATAGGCATCAGGCTCTCTAATAAGAGACCCTGCATTTTGCACTTTACCTAAACATGAGTATAAAGGAAAATCTCACCATGGCAATGCCTACAGACTTCACAAATTCCTTGTACTGCAGAAATGTCACACTACCTTATAAACACAGAAAACAACAGCCATATTCTGGACAATCAGAAAAGATCTCAGCAAATTGTATTTTATTGTGTCTACTTCTTTAAACAAAGAGGAGAAAAAGTAGATTGAACTGCTCAGTATCTGTTTTGCAGATTAAGGTGACGCTGAAATATGAACAGTCAATTTGCCAAAAATTCAAAGAATTAAAGTCTGTAAAAGGAAGCAGAGATACTGCATGTATCACAGCTGCCTTTGACTTCGTAATGCAAAGCACTGAACCACGGAAATCAGAAAGAGAAAGCGACTTGGAAACAGATCAGTCTGCATTTCACTGGAAGCAGTAAACAGGAGAAAAAGCTTTGAGTTTCAGGGATTTTTTTTCAAAGCATAAGCAAAAGGGATTTTTGTTCAAAACAAACAAAAGGCAACTTTTCCCACCTGCCACCCATCTGACTATCTGCCTTTTGATATTTGTGTCTTTTCCAGCAAATACACTCTTTATCAGTTTCTAGTCAGCATTCAGCACCTCCCCAGTAATTGTGTGCCCAGTTTATGTTTGCAGTGCCTTTGCAGAACATGCATTGCTTGCCTGAGAGAGCAGCTCGTTTTTCTACCTCATCCCTGCACAAACAGGGCACAAATTAGAGTTTGGCCACCTGACTACGTAAAGAAATCATCAGAAGATTAAGCACAGATGATCAGACGTTTTTAAAGCTTCAAAACTATTTCAAGCCCCAAGGTGTTTTAGGTCAGGACACTGTTCTTCATGGCTTGGGATTCTCTTCATGGGAATCTGCAAACAAAATACAAACAAAGACAGTCCCAGCCACCCTGCAGGAGTGCTCAGAGCCCTGTGCTGTATTTACCCCAAGTCACATTCACAGATGCTGTTGGTCCCTTCAGCTACTCTAAGAAATATGTATGACCTTTCACAAGATCCCCGCACTGATGTGGCCAGAATTAAGAGCAGGAATTTCAATTTTTGCTAATATATAACCCCCTGGTCCCCACTTGTGCACAGTGTCCTGCCAGGGGATGGAAAAGGGTGAGGAGACACAAAGTTGGACTTGGAACAGAGGGTCTCTGCTCCGATGTAAAAACCACAGAGGGTTTTTAAAAAGCTGCAGGCCAGCAGCTGATGGGGCAAACAGTGAGATTCACACTCTGAGCGTGGGTGCCACTCCTGAGCTGTCACACCCGCAGATAAAACTGTGAAATAACTGTCACTCACTTCAGGCTGTCAAACATTTCAGTGGAACATTGTCATCTCAGCAGCACACAAGCAAAATCAAAGTGTTTAAGTAAGACTACGTTCATCCAAAACACACCTCACAAAATCACGGGGGGTGGAGGGAGGGCAAATAGGAAGCACCCTTCATTTTCCTTAGAACACACTGCAAGTTCATGGCCAAACCCTTAATGCCACACTTTGTGCCCATCTGTGCAGCATGCCTGCTTAGCACAGCTAAAGTGACATAAATCCTGAACCCACGGGAGCACAGGGTGGCTGTGTCTCTTATTCCAGAGACATTCTCGTTATTCCAGCTGCCAGAGACAAGGGGAGATTGGAGAGGAAAGGCACCGGTGCACACAGAGCCTCATTCCCCAGGCAGGATAGGCTGGGCTCGTGTTCTGGCTGTGGGGTGGAGGAGATCCAAAGCCTGCCATGGAAACAGCAGGGCACTGCTTGGCTGTGAGGGAGAATTCCCTGCCCAGGAATCCAGGAGCCCCTCTGGCCCTCACCCACAGCACCTGAGTGGGGTGAAAGCCCCCGTGCAGCTCACACCCCACACTCACACAGCACTACAGGTTCCCTCTGTCCCTGCAGGTTTCCTGTGGCAGAGTCTCAGACCTCTGGATCCTTAAAGCAAATTATTCATGGCACAGGAGCAGAGAAACTGCCCAAGGTGGTGTCTTTGAGAAGGAACCTGAACAAAGGAACTCCTGAGCTTTTTCCCACTCAGAGCCAAGCACAGGAAAGTCTGGGATCTTCCTTTGGGTCTCTGGCCCCTGCTGTGTCTGTGAGTGTCTCACCTGGATGTGTCCCAGGTCCCTGTGCCCTTCATTGTCACAAGGGTTGGGAGTTCACACCTCTGGAGCTCAGCCTGCAGCTGCACCCCTGGCTGTGCTGCACAACACCCTGCACATCTGGGCACTGCACTGGGGCCACAGCCCCCCCGGCATCCAACAGCTCAGTCCCCACGCCACAGCCCAGATGTTCCTGTGCACTCCCAGCTCGGGAGGGGACCCCCACTGTCCCTGCTGGACTGGCCCCTTCAGGAGCCTCCCTGCCTCCCTCAGCACTGAGCTGCTCAGGCCTGCAGAGCGTTTGTTACTCTGCTCGGGGCTGGAGGGATGCTCCTATCCCTGGGGAAAATTCCTGCTGCTGCAAGAGAGAGGCAAAAGCTCCGGGCCCCTTCCCCCAGGGCAAGTCCATGCCTGGATGGATATTATCACAAAATTATCACCAGATATTATCACAAAATATTATCCAGAAAATATCCACCAGATATTATCACGAAATATTATCCAGAAAATATCCACCTGCAGATGAACAACACCATTTCCTCACTCCACCATCTGCTGCCAGGCACTGCACAGTCTTCAGGGCAGGAACTACCAACAGCTACAGGTGGGGCAAACCCTAAACCCTGACAGATGCTGTGAACCCTGACAGATGTTGTAAACCCTGACAGATGTTGTCTTGACCCAAGCTGGTGCCTCCAGAGTTTTTTTTTTTGTTGTTGTTTCAGCACCTTGTGAGCAGCTGGACTGGGCAGGTTAAAGAGAGCTGGTAAAGGTGATGTGCCACAGAACTCAAGGGGGGAAACTGAAGTTGAGAGCAATGAAATTGGTAAAACAAACACTTTTGGAGGGGTTCTCCAGCTCTGTAAAAGCCAAGAGATTTGCAACACGACCACAAATGGCCAAGAGCTGTCTTCTCCCAATACTTTACATCTAAACCACTAGTGTGATTAAAAAGCAAATGTTTTTCTGAGCTGGAAAATGGTAAACAAAATTGTTTGGCTTTTGTTTAGTTGGTTTTTTGTAATTTCTGGAAGTCTGATTTTTATTAATGTAATATTTCTGTTAGCAGCCTCGTCTACGTAAGGCATCTGCAGAAAGTTTTTATTGTTAACTTAATAGTGAAAATCTAATAGAGGTTCTATTTGAATTTTCCTATTAAATTGACGTCAATCGCAGTCTGAGAATCAGATTGTTACAACCCAGACTATGAAACAAACATTCAAGTCAGTTGCTATAAATGTAGCCACTGCACACTGGTAAGTGTTTTAATATTTTTAATCAGGTCTCTGGGTAAAGCCAAGATACACTTGGCATAGAGATGAGGGGAAAAATTATAAAAATGTAGATGTTTCTACTTGGAAAGTCAATTACAATTTATTTCCAGAAAAACTGAAAAAAAAATTTGAATACACACACAGAATTGCACTTTAGCAAGCAGATGTACAAATATAAAAGTAACTGGAGTTGATGCCTCAAATCAGCACTTGCCACACAACAGACTAAAGGTGAGATCACCTTCCCTGTGAGGTTACCTCCACAGGAACATTCTGTGCAGCACAGGGATCCCAAAAACGAAGGGGGAGGAAGGGAATCCCATGGCAGCGCTGGAGCAGCTGAATGGATGAATAATGGTGCAGCAGAAAGAAAAGAAAATGTGTGTAGGGAGGGGAGACTTTTGTTCGGACATCAGAAGAGCTTCCTGAAAGCAGGAGGACAAGAAATCTGAAGATTCCAGCTAAGACTCCCATCAAAGGGACAGCAGGGTCCTAGACCTCACCCAAACCTTGTGCACTTTGGAAGAAACTCATCCTGCTCAAAGCTGCAGATTTTTACAAAGAAACCAGCAGAAAAGCAGATGAAATCAATCCATCACAAAGGGGTAACAAAGAGCTGTGCTGGGGGAGCTGGCTGCGATGTCCTGGCTCCCCTGTCCCCTGTTGGTGTCCCGAAATCTGTGGCTATCCGGGCTCCCAGGGCACCCTGCACTGATGCTGCTCCTGCCAAAACCAACAGTGACATCAAAGAGAGCTGAGAAAAAAAGTCCACACAAATGCACATGGCTCCATGATTTGCAATTGTTTACTGCTACAGAGAGGGCCTGAACACTTATCAGATTTCAAAACCTTTTAGGGATGTGTGAAGGAAGGATGAATCAGAGCAGAAAAGCCTGAAGAGTTTTGTCGTTTTTCCGGCAGAGATAGACAACACAAGTCACATTTTCAACTCCGACAGAAAAGCACTGGAGCTTTGTGTTAACTGTAAAATTAATTAGAATATCATCCAAATCACAGATTCTTCTATTAACTAGAAAACCAGTTGGGTAAAGGTTTTCTTCTCTTGTAACCCACAAGATATTTGTGAGGCCTGCAATAACAAGGTTTGAAATCAAACAGGTTTTCAAATTAAAAACAAGCTAACAAAATGAAACTGCTTAAAATAAAAGCTAAATTACAGTTTACAGAACTTCAGAGTGTTTCTTATTTAATACTAACAAGGCTGTAAGTCACATACAAGTGTTAGAAAAGTGAATTCTCTCTCCAAAACATTTTTCAGGACTCTTGGCAATAATAACCAGCTTGGATGTTAGATTAAGGAGAGGGGGAAAAGAGCCCTGTGACCCATATTGCACGTCAGAGTAAGAGTGGGGAATGGAAATGCCAGTGCAGGCACCTGCCACAGACCTGACCTCTGTGTGGAAATGATGGACATGGCACTGGGCAATGGAGGGATGCCAGCACTGCAACAGAAAATGAAGGTGCTGGATCCCTCAATGCCTCCCTCCCCCTTATAAATCCACACTTGTAAACTGCAAGTTCCCAACATTCAGTAAGGAGTTATTTACTTGACACAAACATAAAAACGTTCCAGTTCCTTCCACGCAGTGAGCTGCTGGGCCTGTGTGGGCACTGCCAGCCCCGGGGCGCTGAGAGTGCCCTGGGGGGCATTCGCTGGGCACTGGCCCCAGGTTTCCTGGGCAGGGCTGGGGAGGCCCCAGGTCCATGGAAGGGCCATTGTTCAGCCTGTCTAGACGGCTCAGGAGCCAGCCCAGGACAATGGGAGCCCAGCAGAGAGAGGGGCAGGTCCTGCCAGCACAGCCCCTGGGACAAAGCCCAGCCCAGCCCTGCTCTGCCCTTCCCGGCCTGTGCGGGGAGGGAAACGCGGGCCGAGCTCCCACAGGCTGGGATGTTCCAGCACAGGAGCTCCCAGACCGGCTGAGGGATTCTGTGCCCAGCTGGGAACGGCAGTTCCGAGTTGTGGCTGAGCAGCAGAGGCAGCCCAGGCTGCAGCACGCTCTGCAGTCATCGCAGCCACACCGGCACAGAGCTGGGTGTCCTCTCTGGGGCCCTGGGCAGGGTCTGGTGGCTCGCTCTGCCGCACCAGCAAATGCCACTGCCCGGCCAAGACACGGCTTACTTTGGCAGAGGGCTCTGCACGAGGATTAGCAACAGCACCAAGAGAACTTTCGTGCTTGCAGTAAGCGCAGCTGCACCTGGGCTTCTGCTGACAGAATTATGCTGGTAAAAGTGGCAGGGGGAAATGGGGGGGAAATGGTTTCCTGACCAACCAAACGTGCCAGAAAAGTTGGCAAATGTAGGGTCAGGCTTCAGAACAAACCACACTGCAATCCCTGGCACACACTGCTGGAGTGGAAATTTCAATCACAATAACCTGCAGTAATTAAATGGACCACGGAAGGACTTTTGCCCTCAGGGAAGGGATAAAAAGAATAATATTTCCTTCAACAAGCTGGAACACTTCCAGCACCAGCACAACTGTGCAGGACTGGGTGGAGCAGTATGAACCTCTCACGCGACAGCCACTGGCAAGGAAAGCAGACAGAGAAGTGTGGGAAATGCAAATGCTTTCTCTTTGCAGTCCCACAGCATTCCTTGATACCTGAAGCTGCCACTCCAAGGAGGAAAGAAAACAAAAACAATAGCACAGCTGACTTGGAAGTCGGCCAGTGTGCACTGCTGCTCGGAGAGGGAGGTGTGAAGACAAACGGCAAGTTCCTGGAGGAGCACTCACTGACTCCTTCCTGCAAGCAAGCTCATCTAAAATGTCACTTCCCCAAGGGCAGCTCCTGGGGTAAAGCACTCAGAGCTGTGTGGGTTTTGCGTGGCCGGATTTTTGGAAGGGTGGGGGGCAGAGATTTGTCTTCTGTGAGGAGCTGCTGGGAGCTTCCAGCATGTCCAGCAGAGCCAGTCCCTGATGGCTCTGAGGATGGA